TGTTTGGACAGAACTGTGTGTAGGTATAGTGTGTCCACAGTCATATTAGAGTGATATAAACACAATGGGCCCTATCATACACCCGGCGCAATGTGGTGCAAGGCGCGGCGCAATACTTGTTTGGTAGTTTCAGCTTGGCGCAAGAGTCATTTTGAGGCGTTGCGCTACGCTGTTTAAATAGCAAATGCATTAGCGCTCATATGTGCGCCCATAGGCGTTCTGGTCTAAAAGGGAGGCGTTCTGAGGCGGACCGCTGGCGCGTTGCTATTTTGAGAAACTAAAATAGATTTTTCATTAGACCGAAACTAACCCGGTCTAAACTCCGGCGCAGAGTTGCACCTCGCTTACGCACTGCTTAATACACACAAGAGAGCAATAGGCAAATATCTTTACATATGAAAACATTTTAATATTAAGAATATATATAGGATATAATAAGAATAGATATAGAATATAAATATAAAGGATTAAAATATTACAAAACATATTATTTTCTAGCCTACATAAATATGAAAAATTACTGCTTTTATGCCTTCTTCATCTCGGGAGGCTTTTTCAGTTCATTCATAACAATTTGCTTTTGTATAATGTTATTATTATTAGCAGTATTATTTATTATATCCATATTTATATTTGTTTAATTAAAAACAAGCTTAGATTTGCTCACCTGCATGTCAGGTTTTAGACCATATGGGGCACAGCATGAGTTTTAGGATATAACTCAGGTTTTTGAGCACATTTTGTTATTATTGTTCATTTATTAGTTTGCTGGAAATTAGAACTGAATTAAGAAATAGTTTTGAAACGAATATTTATGCTTAACAAACGAAATTATTTATTTATAGACTAATTGATGTCTGTGCGTAAAGGTTTCCCTATCCAAGAGCGAAAGTGAAAGTAGATCCATTATCTCTCATTCTCACGCAGTAGATGCTCTGTTGAACAGCTTTCGGTTAAAAAACTGTTAACTGTTTGCTTGTGAAATGCTCATTTTTTCCACTTAGACTTACTTTACGTCCTGTTAATAGCGAATGCGCTTATGGTGCGACGCAGCTGGCTCTTAAAGGGAATGGGAGATGAGACTCTAATTGGTTTATTCTCAAAACACACCTATAACTCATTAAGAAAATAAACTCAAGCCTTTTAGACCATGCGCCACGGCGCAAAGCGGATTTCCCCGTCCGTAAATTAGCAAAAATGCGTTCTGACACGCCCTGAAAGTGTTTGTGCCCTGCGTTTTGTGCTCTGCACATGGACCGTCAAAATAGAGCCCAGTAAGTCTCTTTTTTTTAATTTCCTGACGTTAAAATAGGATCCAAATCCCTCCCCTTTTGAGGCCCATCGCATCGTGATGTAGGAGTGCGTTTTGCCCGCCCACCGTATTGATTGACAGGCGCATATTAACACGTCTCTATAGTAAACAGTGAAAACACAGTTTCAGCAGTCTAACATGTCGTCCACGACCACTCTCTTGGCTGGCGCGAATAATAATCAAGTAAACATATTACATGAGTTCAGCAACACGGTAAATATTAAATCATGTACCTGGTAAACACAGTAAAAACACAGTGATCAGCTTCAACAGTCTAACATGTCGTCCTGCAATGATGGGTGTATATTAGCAATTATAAAGTGGTCTGCACAAAGAAAAGATGCTTTGTGTATAATAAAAACAAAAGGATCAATAAAAATATATATATTTTAGAGGAGCACTCACTCACCACGACCTCTCTCTTGGCTGGCGCAAATAATAATGACCTGTGCTGAACTAGTTTATAACATGGCACCAGCCAATGAACAGAGAGGGGGTCATTTAGAATTAAAGGGCCATGGACATAAAAGAAAAGCAAGTGGAAGCACTTTTATAACCTGTTACACTGGATAAGTTGGCAGTAGGGCTGCACGACTAATCGAAAAAAGATCACGATCTCGATACGACCCTACACATGATCCTAATTCAGCTTTTCTATGATTGAGCCAATTATATTTTAAAGGTCAGGAGAGAAGAAAAGGAGGCCACAGAAGTCTTCACAGGAACATTGACACCTTCAAATGGTGTTAAAAATGTCACATACTGTGTTTATATGGTATAATTTCGGTCAAAATGTCATTTCTGTCTTCATGTAACGATGTGTTCACGGTCGTGAAGTTGCGTGTGAGCTGACGCACTGTTTGTTTACTTCCGAGAACATGCGCGTGCACAAAAATGACGCCTACTTTAGTGAAAACAACCTGCATATGCTGTGAATAACAGGTAATAAAGTTGTAAATAACGTTCAGTTTGTTGCACAGAGCGATTGTTTGAGGGCCGTGTGGGAGGTTTGATTTGCATGTGTGTGTTTTTTTCTCACGGTGACAGCAGCCATGAGCCGCACTAGGAAGTGAAACCTGTGCGCACATCATTTAAATGATCACATTGCATTTTAGAGTTATGATTACGACAAGCATTTCAAATTTTTTTTCTTTCATAGTGAACACAAAGTGTTGTGCATGAAAATAAATGTTTGCTGTGTCAGTCTAACAACCTTAGCCTATAAATAATGGAAATATTATGGTCTAATAATGTTGTCAATGACAGATGACAAGCACATGTCTCAAACATAATAATTCAATTTTATAATTATGAATAGTTATATTCTGATGTCATCGCTTTACTGTGAATTAACAAACTGGACATATTGAAAGTCTGTTTAAGTCCCCCATAATACAAAATTTAGCATTTTAAGCAACAGTAGAGCTACACATAGGCCTAATACTTTTGTTGTTTTACCACATGCTTGAGAATTAACAATAATAATAGGCTAATCATATTAACCTTTATTTTACATCTACAGAATCGTGAGAAAGAATCGTGATCTTGATTTTAAGCAAAAAAAAATCATGATTTACATTTTTGCCAGAATCGTGCAGCCCTAGTTGGCGGTTCATAAGCCGAAGGAAATTGATGAAGGAAATTGATGAAGGATGAAGGAAATGAAGGAAATTGATGAAGGAAATGAATGAACCATTTCACTAAGTGAAGTTTATTCATAAACTAATTTCGAGAGGATCACGTGCTTATGATTTATCACGGCCGGTCCCGTATTTGCTAATCACTATCTTCCAATCATATAAGCCCTAAGCTACTATAAATAACCACAGTTTTAATTTTATCTTTGTTTGGAAGAAGCCCCCCTCCTCCCCTATTCTCCTCCTTTACCTCTGATTGGGCGGCAAGGCGGCCCAGTGGTTAGCACTGTGAGCCCCACAGCAAGAACACTGCCAGCCCTGGTCCCATAGGGCCAGTGGGTGTTTCTGTGAGGAGTTTGTATGTTCTCCCCGTGTCCGCGTGGGTTTTCCCCGGGTTCTCTGGTTTCCTCCCATCATCCAAAGACATTCAACACGTACAACAATCAAGCATTTGTCTAACCCCTCTGTTCCCTTAGCTACCGCAGTCGGGGAGTTCTGAGATCCACCGAGCTCAGGCTCCCCTCTCGCTCTGCCAACGGGAGGAAGCCCCGGGCTCGAGGATCCCTTGAGCTCGGAGCTCTCTCCCGGGACAGCATGCCAAACAAGCTTTTATAAATCATCAGCTAAGTGTGAAGTCTTGAAATTACAAGCAAAAACTGCAAAAATACAGACTTTATGGTCAAAATTAAATGAATAGCTGTTTAATACTGATAATAATTTGCATTTAAACTGTGAAGTTACACAAAATACACGTTACACTTTCAGGTTAATCACCATAATTTCAACGCTTTATTGCGTTATTTTGTAAAATAGTTTTGTGCATTTGCAGTGATTTATTTTAAGTGCAGTTTTCCCATCTGTAATAGCCAAACATTTACTGAATTAATTCTTATTTCTACAGAAAAAAAAAAACACAACTACAACTGATTCCTCTTCAATAAAAAGGTTATTTTATGTCAGATTTGATTACTTCTGTAATTGATAAGTCACTTTGGATGAAAGCTTGGTCACACTTAATTTTGATGGTCCATTTGTTGAATTTCAGTTACATTGCAACTAATTCTCTTTAGATTATAAGTATTGTTAGGTTGGAGTTAGAGTTGATGTAAGTCGACAAGTTCAATTCAATTCAGTTCAGCTTTATTTGTATAGCGCTTTTACAATGTAGATTGTGTCAAAGCAGCTTCACATAAATTTTCATAGCAGGGGCGGACTGGCCATCTGGCAATTCTGGCAAATGCCAATTTTTAAATGTGGGCCGGTCAGTTTAAAAAAAAAGTATTGTTTTTTTATTGCAGACAGCTTTTATCTGTTGCTAGATGTGATATTATGATGATGATAATAAAAATAATAATAATAATAATAAATGTTAAGCATTTGGCCCAATCGGCAACTGCCGCCTGGTTTCAAGATGGGACGACCCAATCCAAGGTTACCCGGATATAATCAAAATCTGGCAAAAATGTCATATTATTTCCCCATCTGTACACCAAAATAAATAGTGAATGTGCGTGTCCGTGGGTGGGGCTGTGTCGTTGTGGTAATGTGGGCTTATGTGGCAACAGTGCCAGGGCTGAATTTTTGTCCCAGTCTGCACCTGGGTCATATTAACTGGATCAGGGTAGTTCAGTATTTAGTGTTTAAGTTCAGTTCAGTTTAGCTCAGTTCAGTGTGGTTTCAAGTCATTACTGAGAGTCCAAACACTGATGAGCAAATTCATCGATGTGTAGCTCTACCGATCCTGAACCATGCAAGCCAGAGGCGACAGCGGAGAGGAAAAAAAAAACTTCAACGATAGGAGAGTGAAGAAAAAAAACCTTAAGAGAAACCAGACTCAGTTGGGCATGACCATTTTAATTTCTCCGCTGGCCAAAGTTCTTGTGCAGAGCTGCAGTCTCAGCGGTGGAGGCTGATATTATAATATCAGCAGATATTACGCAGACAGTCTACTATTACTCAAATGGACCATCAAAATAAAGTGTTACCAAAAGCTTTTGTCGGGTGAATAAATGTAAATGCAGTAATAACGGATAATGGGAATCATTTCTAGTGACCTGCTGTGGATGTCGGTCTGAAGACGCACTGGATGGAGCAGATAATGGAACGAACAGAGCGTCATGTGACTCAAGCAAACGGCTCCCACAAGTAGGTCGCAGTGTGTTTGTCTATTACCGTTACTGATCGTGTGTGACTAAACACTCTCAGTCTGAGCGGAGACACACACACACACACAGACAGACAGAGATGCGTGAAACCGAAGACAGAGATCATGAGTGGCTCTGCGCTCAGCTCTGACTTGTTGAACTCTTCTTCTTCATCTTATTATTCTTCTTCTTCAGTGTTTGTTGCTGTATCTTCAGTTTGGTGATGGAGCCACAGAGGCAGATTTACAAAAGACTGGACGTCCCGGATCATGTGCATTACATCATCGCCTTCCTCATCCTCATCATCGGCACTTTGGGAGTTTCTGGAAACGCTCTGGTCATGTTCGCCTTCTACAGGTACAAGCTGAGCTGGTTATGATCACGAGTATGCAGTCTTTTACCTTGCTTTAGAAGGTTTAAATTAACACTTTACTGTTTACTGTACTGTTTTAACTGTTTGACAAACAGTTTTAAACACATTAATGCTGTCAAACATGATTTCGATTGAAATTCTTGCACTTTTATTAAGTAATAAAAAACAAAACATTAAGATAAAAACATTTAATTATATAAAATATAGTTAGGTAAATATGTATTTGTAGAACTGTGGTTTAATCATTTTTTTTAATATAAATTTTTGGCTAAAAAGTGCACATATGTGACCCTTGACCACAACTATCTTTTATTGCATTGGTGTATTTTTGAGAATAACATACACTTTAAAAATGACAGTGATTTCAATCCTTAAAAAAACTAAAATGCTACAATAAAAATTTGTAACCTGGCTAACAGTATGTTTCTTTAATATATACGGAGAGTAACGTAAATGGACTTTTCCAGAATTGCCTGCATTGTTAACATTACTGTGGATCGTTTTAGTTGTTTCCCTATCACTAATGTAACTACATTAGAGATTTATGTTACATCTAATGCTGAGAAACAATGTTTATTTCATGACTTTAATTTTATGCGTGTTAATATATTGCTGTTTAGTGGCTGTGTGAATGACACTATAAGCACCTTTTATACACTGATGCAATTATCTGATGGTTGTGGGAAAAGTTGTTTGGGATGAGCGTTGGTAACTTTCTCATCACCACCTGCATTTGGCTGTGTTAACGTGTCTGTCTGTGTAACAATAGATGTGTAGATGTGGGTAATTCAAAATACAGACATATTACATCTATAAATTAATGTAATATGGTAGATTACTGTAAAAATGAGGAATTACTTTTACGGTTTGTACTGTGTTTTTGACAGTGAAATACTGACAAGCACATGAACTGCCATTTTCTTAGTGTACATAAAATATATAAAAAATTGTGTACATAAAAAATATAAAATAATATAAATATACATATATATATATATATATATATATATATATATATATATATATATATATATATATATATATATATATATATATTTATTTATTTATTTATTTATTTATTATTTTTTTTTAAGATGAAAATCTTTTGGACATTATGAAAAAATCTCTTAACTTATTTTAGGAGGTTTGAAGTAAAACTTTACATTTAACTGTTTGACAAACTATTTTCAATGCATTTAAGCTGTGAAACATGATTTTAATTGGACTTCTTGTACTTCATGTATCTATGAAAAACACAACATGAAGGTTAAAAGATATCTGGTGAAAGTAAACATGTATTTATGTTAGGTGTATTTGGGTTCCACAGTTGATTTGTGTTACAGCAACATGAAGGAATTGAATTAATTTGTTAATTTTAATTTTTAATTTCGGGCTTAGTCCCTTTATCAATCTGGGGTTGCCAGAGCGGAATGAACCGCCAACTTATCCAGAATATATTTTAACGCAGCGGATTTTTAAGAAGAGCCAAACATACATCAAAGATGTATAAAATATATTTTCATTTTAAGACCACAGTCATTCCAATATGAGTTCACGAGTTCACACTTGCAGTTGTTTAAGTATAAGGGGAGAGGGCTCTGAGCTCAGGGAGACACCCCAACTCGAGTTATTCCCCTTATCAGGAAACAAAGAGGAGTTGGGATTCGAGCGAAGTATCTAGCCCAGCCCCAGAACGCTTCTCCCGGGAATGTAATGCTTAAGAGGTGAGGTGTCGGGGTGGTGGAGGGATGCTAAAGTCGTGAGATGCTGCAGGTAAGACAGCTTTGGTAAATATAGGGGTTTGTTCAAGAACTGATTTGATAATCGAGTAATTGTCAATGACGTATTTGATACTGAATCTTCTGCGCATGCTCCTCCCGAAATTTGTTTACAAAACATCACGTAAAGATCATATACATCGAATAGGCTATCACTTAACTTATTTTAGAAGGTAAGAATTTACATTTAACACATTCATGCTGTCAAACATGATTCTTGCACTTTTATTTTATTTGAATTACTTTACACTTTTTACTGTAAAAGTGTTTATACGAGACCCTGGACCACAAAAATATTAAATTACATCCACTATAAAAAGATCCACACTATTCAATTATGTTGGCCCAACACAAATCGATTAGGTTAACTTAACACATTTTAGTGGATTAAACATAAGACAGTTAAGTTGTCCTCAAAAAAACCTCAAGACTTGTGTTGTTTCTAACATTCATTCATTCCTTTATTTTGTTTTTCGGCTTAGTCCCTTAATTAATCTGGGGTCACCACAGAAAAATAAATCGCCAACTTATCCAGCATATGTTTTACACAGCAGATGCCCTTCCAGCTGCAACCCATCTCTGGGAAACATCCATACACACCCATTTACACACACATACTATGGACAATTAAGCTTGTCTAATTCACCTGTACCACATTTGTTTAGATTGTGGGGGAAACCGGAGCACCCGGAGGAAACCCACGTGAACGCAGGGAGAACATGCAAACTCCACACAGAAACGCCAACTGAGCCAGCCGAGACTCGAACCAACGACCTTCTTGCTGTGAGGCTACAGCACTACCCACTGTGCTTCCGTGTCGTCCCTTATTAATTTTGACAATTTTAAGTAGATTGAACATAAAACAATTGTGTGGTTACAGCTTAAATTCAAATATGTAGCTTGAACAATCAACAAATGTCTTTTTTTCTTTTTTGAGTGTGGCTTAATCAGTTTTTAAATCACTTTTTGGCTGAAAAGTGCATACTGTATGTGACTCTTGACCACAACATTCTTTTATTGCATTGGTGTATTTTTGAGAAGAGCCAAACATACATCGAGATGTATAAAATATAATTTTATTTTAAGATGACAATCATTCGAATATGAGGTAAGGATCATATTGATTACAATTACGTGTAGGCTGTCACTTAGCTTATTCTAGAAGGTAAGAATTTACATTCCACACATTCATGCTATCAAACATGATTCATGCACTTTTACTTTATTTAAATTACTTTTTGGTTTAAAAGTGTTTATATGTGACCCTGGACCACAAAAATATTAAATTACATCCACTGTAAAAAGATCCACACTATTCAATTATGTTGGCCCAACACGAATCGATTAGGTTAACTTAACACATTTTAGAGGACAAGTAAGTTGTCCTCAAAAAAATCTCAAGAATTCTGTTGTTTCTTACATTCATTTTGTATACTTTATTTTGTTTTTCGGCTTAGTTCCTTATTTATTTCAGAGTCGCCACAGGGGAATGAATCACCAACTAATCCAGCATATGTTTTAAGCTGCGGATGCCCTTTCAGCCACAACCCAACACTGGGAAACACCCACACACTCTCATTCACACACATACACTACGGCCAATTTAGTTTCTTCAATTCACCTATAGCTCATGTGTTTGGACTGTGGGGGAAACCGGAGCACCCGGAGGAAATCCAACTGAACACGTGGAAAACATGCAAACTCCACACAGAAACATCAACTGACCCAGCTGGGACTCGAACCAGCGACCTTCTTTCTGTGAGGCAAAAGTGCTAATCACTGAGCCACCGCGCTGCCCTGTGTGTTGTTTCGTATCATTTTAAATAATTAGTTTGAACAAGCAGCAGACATTTGTTTTTGAGTGTGAGTATATTTTTGAGAAAAGCAAAATCAGCATTTTCAAAATTAAAGATTTTTGACAAAAATCATTAGAATATTAGGAAAAAATTATGTTTCATGAAGACATTTAGTAAATTTTGTACTGTAAATACTCTATATCTCAACAGAGAATTTAATTTCAACTTTCAAGATGATTTTCTCAATATTTTTAAGCCCTCAGATATCAGATTTTGAAATAATTGCATCTCAGAAAAATGTCCTATATCTAATTTTTTAAATCTCAATTTCCAAAAAATGTACGCTTAAGGTTGGTTTTGTGGTTCAGGGTCACATGTTAATATGATGTTGTAAAAGCTGCATGTACATTAATTATGAAACAATTAGCAAAATGTCCCTCATTTAAAAGAAAACTTTGATGTAATATCAACAATAATAATACATACATTTTTATTGTTTTAGTCAGTTTATTTATTAATTTTCTTTTCGGCTTAGTCCTTTTATTAATCAGGGGTCGCCACAGTGAAATAAACCGCCGAATTATCCAGCATATGTTTTAGGCAGTAGATGCCCTTCCAGCTGCAACCCATATCTGTGATGACATCCATACACACTCATTCACACTTTTACACTACGGAAAATTTAGCCTACCCACTTCACCTTTACCGCATGTCTTTGGACTGTGGGGGAAACCTGAGAACCCGGAGGAAACCTACACGAACGCGGAGAGAACATGCAAACTCCACACAAAAACGCCAGCTGAGGCTCGAACCAGTTACCTTCTTGCTGTGAGGCGACAGCACAACCTACTGCACCACCGCATTGCCTATGTTAGTATTCATATTTTAATATTTATAATTTAGAAAGCGCAGGACAAACTTCAGTAAATATTTATAATTTAGAAATATTAATAAAAATATTTTCCAGGTTTTTTTTCTCTAGTTTTCTCTTTTACTCTTTTGTTGCAGAATATTTTCTTTTATTTATTTACATTTTAAATGAATTACTTTTTATAATGATCAGGTGAATCAGTGCTTTTGAAAACACTATTGGTTGGGTTTAGGGAAGGGGGTTGGTGGGGGTATTGGTTGGTCGGTCAGTCAGTCAGTCAGTCGTCAGCGGCCTCTGGTGGATTTACGCGAGAAGAGCAGGCAAGATTGGCACTTGCAAAAGAAATTTGAGATTTTACAAAGCCTACACAGCGGCCTCTGGTGGATTTGCGAAAACAAAAACTGCAAAAAATGTAGCTTCTGGGATGTATTTTGTGATCTCCAGAAATGTAGATGGGGGTATGTATTAGTAATGAGCCTGGGTTTTGCATTGTATTATTATTATTATTATTATTATTATTATTATTATTACTACTACTACTACTATTAATATGAATATTATTACTATTAATATTAATATTATTACTATTATTATTATTCTTAATATTATTAGTAGTAGTATTAATAATATGAATATTATTACAATTATTGTTAATATTATTACTATTATTATTATTATTATTATTAATAATATTATTATTATTATTGCTATTATTATTATTATTATTATTATTATTATTATTATATAAAAATAAAATACATTATAGAATGACACATTAGTTAAACATGTTTGGTTTTTATGTCTTAACATTTTAAAAGAGAATATATTTAAAAATAAGTCAAAAAGAAGTAAAAATGTTGCTTTCAGTTTTTTGCGAGATCATGCCTCTCAGCTATTAGATAATCCCTCCAAGAAAACGTTATGGACTTCAATTGTTGTAGTGAATTGGGTCAGTGTGGTAAAACTAGAGCAAACAGTGAAATGCTAGTATAAAGCTTCTGTTTTCTTTTCTTCTGTATCCCCATTCACTCAGATTAAAGTTACCACCACTGGATAGCCATAATCCTCATTTGCAAAAAACGCTTCTAATGTATTGAATATAGGCCAGATGTGCTGGAAATTAGGAATACTGTGAATGAGATATAAATAACCAGTCTAATGCATTTACATAAGTGGATGCAATTATTGTAATCATGGGCTTTTGTGGAGAGTGGAAGGAAATTGACTTCTTTTCCAGGAATCCCGGGAATCCCTAGAACTGCAGGATATCAATAGAATGAGAGTCAATGGGGTGTTTGATCTGTTTGATGGCAGCTTTAGCAAATAACCCTTATTTACCTCATGTAACTTCCTTTTTATTTTCTTCATTCATTAATTTTCCTTGGGCTTAGTCCCTTTATTCATCAGAGGTCTCCACAGCAGAATGAACTGCCAACTATTCCAGCAAATGTTTCACAGAGTGGATGCCCTTCCAGCTGCAACCCATTCATTCACTCATGTTCTTTTCGGCTGAGTCCCTTTATTAATCTGGGGTTGCCACAGCAACCAATAACTTATCTAGCAAATGTTCTACGCAGCGGATGCCCTTCCAGCTGCAATCCATCACAAACATCCATACACGCTCATTCACACACATACACTATAGACAATTTAGCTTACCCAATTCACCTGTACCGCATGTTTTTGAACTTGAGGGGGAAACCGGAGCACCCGGAGGAAACCCACGCGAATTCAGAGAGAACACGAAAAATCCACACAGAAGCGCCAACTGACCCAGCCGAGGCTCAAACCAGCAACCTTCTTGCTGTAACCCAATACACCCATACGCACTCATTCACACATATACACTATGGCCAATTTAGTTTATTCAATTCGCCTATACTGCATATCTTTGGACTGTGGGGGTAACAGGTGCACCTAGAGGAAACCAACACCAACACAAAGAGAACATGCTAACTCCACACAGAAATGACAACTGACCAAGCTGGGCTTATTTTATTCTTTTACTTTTATTTTTTTTAGATTATTATTTTGCATTTACAGAGGAAGGCTTTGATTTATGGATTATTAAACACAGTTAATAATGTACACTGCATATGTATGTGAAATTACTGTATGGTTGCTTTTTATCACACACATTACTGATTACACTGCAAAGAAATGCTTTGAAGAGTTTTTGTCTCGTTTCTTGTCAAAAGATCTACAAATTTTAAAATCATGAAGCATTTTCCAGACAAGTAAAGCATATAATAAGTAGAAAAGTTTAGTTTTTTCTTAGAAAATGAAAATAAATTTGCCAGTGGCATAAGTGAAGTCAACATGTCAAACTGAAAACGAAATTATTTGACTTATCCAACTTGCAGTTTATTTACCTTGTTTTTAAAAACAAATCACTTAATTTTGACATATTATTGTCTAGAAAATGGGCAACACGGTGGCTCAGTGGTTAGCACTATCACTTCACAGCAAGAATGTTGGTTCAAATCCAATATATATATATACATATATATATATATATTAAAACATGTGTTTGTTTGTTGTAAAAATTCGTAATAATGACAAATAATACTAATTAGTGGATCTCCTTACTTCCGGGTGCAGCTGTGGCTAGTGTATTCTGGGAAATTTTTCTTACCCCTTGGTTTCGAGTGTGGTTCTGAAAAATCTTGGTTTGAAGGGGTGCACACCCCTTGCCCTTAGCCCTACGCCTTCAAGCTAAAGAGAATTGGGACACTGCAACCCCTTCACAGGCACGCACAAAACGAGGGGTAAGGGGAAGGGCTAAAGGGTAGAATTGGGATTGGGCCTAAGAGTTTAAAGATAAAAATATTTAAATAAAGATTTTTAAAAGCAGGTTAAGTGAAGAATTGCTGTGTAAAAAGTCTGTTTTAAAGTAAAAGCTTTTATAATTTTTTTATTATGTGTTTTTTCCCAGTGTCACAAGTTACTGTATTTTCTTAGAAAATTCTACATTTAATTTTAATAAGCAAATCTATTTTAAATGCTTTAATATTTTTAAAAATATATTAAATATGGAAAAAATTCTGTATAGATAACATAAAATTATGTATTACATCATCCAAATATTGTTTAAAATCTATATTTTGTCCATTTGTTTTTATTTAGAAACGTAAAAAATATATTTGAAAGCTTACCTCTGCAATTCTTTTAATTCTAAAAAACCCAAAAGAAGATATTTTGAAGACTGCTGGTTATGATTATCATTGACATACCTTTTGTCCATATAACAAAAGCCCAAACATTCTTCATAATATCTTATATTGTCATTTACTGTGTAAGTAAAAGCGTCAAAGCATGATTGTTCATAAGCGATGTACTGTCTGTTTTAACTTTTCTTTTTTCTTTTTTTTTTGCAGTAACAAAAAGTTGCGGAGCCTGCCTAATTATTTCATCATGAACCTGGCGGTTAGTGATTTCCTCATGGCCATCACACAGTCTCCAATCTTCTTCATCAACTGCCTGTATAAGGAGTGGATGTTTGGAGAACTGGGTAAGTATCTTAATCTTTGGTTTAGTTGCAACATGGGCTCATTCTAAAAGCATACTCCTATATACATTTCTGGAGTTGGTGAATTATGTAGCCAGAAGTACGCATGGCTGCATTTTGTCTTTATAACGAACCACGACGACAGGGTTTGAGTCCGGCAAAGATCGTTTCCAGAAAGTGAGTAATACAAAAACATAAGCCAAAAAAATAAAAATAAAATAAACATAAGGGATGTGGTAAAATAAAAAAAAAATAAAAAAAAGAAAACATAGTAAAAATCAGACGAGGGCTTTTCTTTTTCTGGATTGCTTTTTAAAACACTATCAGTTGGGTTTAGGGAAGATGATGAGCTGGTCAGTCAGTGCTTTTGAAAACACTATCAGTTGGGTTTAGGGAAGGGGTAGGTGGGAGGTTCGGTCAGTCAGTTGGTCAGTCAGTCGACAGCGGCCTCTGTTGGATTTACGTAAGAAGAGCAGGGGCCTCATGTACGAAGACTTGCGTGGAAATCATACTAAAACATTGCGTACGCACAAAGCTGTAAATGTGCGTACCCAGAAAAAAATTCAGATGTATGAAACACTGCGTACGCCGAATCCCACACATATTCTTTTGTACATCCGAATGAACATGAAACTGAGCGCAACATGCACGAGCGCAAAACCCCTCCCTGCCTCCTCCCCCGTATGAATATGCTAATGACTCTACTTTGGCAAAACCCAACGAAAAAGCAAGCAAAAACAGAAACTTTGAACAGAATGTGAATTGGAGGTGCTGCTTTTGGGGCTAGACCGGAGAAAAGCGGTGTTATTTGCAAGTTTGTTCTCCGGAATTAACAACAAAAGAAAAAAATAGAGTGGGAGAGTTTAGCTGATGCGGTTAACACAGTTGGGTCTGAACATCGCACTGAGTGGATTAAAAAGAAATAGTGTAATTTATAGGTGTAAAATGTTGCAGTACCCTTAACGGTCTCAGTGGCGCAGCTGAAAAAACGCATGTCAACATGTTTTGACATGTTCGAGCATGAACTCGATTGGAATCCAGCGTCTGATGAACTCTTTCTTTTTTTTTCCCCCGCTACATATCAGATTTTGCCAACTAATTATCACGAGAAAGACAAGTAGGAATCATCAATAAGTTTGTGCATCATATTTTATTTGCACATTTATTGAATGGAAATGTTTCTGATTCACGCATGCAAATTCATCTTCAGATTGTGTCTTTATAGCAATCTGTGTGCAGTAGATCGCTCCGATTACATTGGGGAAACCGGCGACCGCTGCAAATTGCGCCTTAATGTTTGGCTGGTCAAATGTATGGTATGGAAACCTTACATACCTACTAGATGAACCCGTCTCATACAGCTGCCATTGCAAGGCTCAAAGACACTTTGTAGAAAGGAATTTTACACAACTGCCTCTAGGAGTCGCCAATGGAAATAAAACAGACACACAAAAAATGTGCGTACGCCAGCCATAAAGCTGGAGTGGAGCTGCGCACATTCCCACGTTCACTTCATTGTTAGTAAATCCAAACGTGAGCAATTCTAAGCGTGAAACCTTGAAACCTACGCAAAGTTTTTGTGCGTACGCAACGTTGATACATGAGGCCCCTGGTATGAATGGCACTTGTGGAGATTTGAAATTTGAGATCTGAAAAAGTGTGCACAGTGGCCTTTGGTAAATTAGCGAAAAACAAAAAATGGAAAAAATTAACCTCCTGGGGCGTATTTCACGCTATCCAGAAATTTTTATAGCGGTACGTTTTCAGAATGAGCCTGGGATGTTTATTTCTTTAATACACTGAATAGAATCATTAAGCAAATTCTAAGACAAATAATTTCCCGCATGTTATTTAGAAGGTTTATACATTTTGTAAGTTGTAAATCTTGCAAAATTGATTCTGAGGCAAATTCTTGACAATTTTTTTTATATTTGTCAAGCACACTAAGCCTGGTGCATATTACTATACGCACATACGCACACACACACACACAGTCCTGATACATGCACTATAGGTGAATTGGATGAACTAAAATGGCCATAGTGTATGAGAGTGTGTGTGTGTGTGTGTGTGTGTGTGTGTGTGTGTGTGAATGATTATGTATGGGTGATTTTCTAGGTTGCAGCTGGAAGGGTATTCACTGCAGAACATATGCTGAAATAGTTGTTGGTTCATTCAGCTGTGGCAACCTTTGAAAAACAGACTAAGCTGAAGTAGAATGGATGAATGAATGAATGAATGCGAGAGTGTATGGGTGTTTCCCAGTACTGAGTTGTGGCTAGAAGGGCATCCACTGCGTAAAACATATGCTGGAATAGTTGGCGGTTCATTCCGCTGTGCCAACTTCTGAAATAGAGACTAAGCAGAAGGCAGATGAATGAATGAATATGCACACACGTTTATGATTATGTTTATTTATGTGGATGGGCATGTGTGTGTGTGTGTGTGTCTGCTGCTGGACAACGTTGATCAAATCAGATCATCAAATCATACAGTGGCACGTAATTGTCAAAACAGATCTTAAAGTGTTTGCTATAAATGTAAAAAGCGTAGTAAATTTAATCTGATTTAAATGTTTTGATGGCAGACGTAATTCTCAGAGGCATGATTCACATGAAAGGGATTGTGTTTATTATTTTTCGTGAGAAGAAAGGTGGACAAGAACCTCCTTGTAGGAGCTTTTTGTGTCTCTTAAATAAGCCTTCTATTATTTTTCCAAAACAAAATATATTTTTGTAAGAATAGCACAAATTATATCAAGTTATGTCTAAAAATAATGTTTTGAATGTGTTTACCGCTACTTTGCCTCCCACTATACAAACGTTTGACTGTCTCTGCCAGAGGGAGAACATGCAAACTCCACACTGAAATGCCAACTGACCCAGCTGAGGCTCAAACCAGCGACCTTGTTGCTGTGAGGCGACAGTGCTACCCACTGCGCCACAGTGCCACCCTTCATACATTGTTTAGAATTAATTATGGATTCAGTATAAAGTAAGTTATATGATTGTTGTATTTCATTGTAGTTTAAGGAAAAGAAATGGAAAATGCTTGAAATGTACCTGCTCTTCTGGAATGGGTCATCTTTTCTCTGTGTGTGTTTTCAGGATGTAAAATCTATGCATTCTGTGGTGCGCTGTTCGGCATCACCTCGATGATAAACCTGTTGGCCATTTCTATTGATCGCTACCTGGTTATCACCAAACCACTGCAGACCATCCAGTGGAACTCCAAGCGCAGAACCGGTCTGGCCATCCTTTGCATCTGGCTCTACTCGCTGGCCTGGAGTCTGGCTCCTCTGATTGGCTGGAGTAAGATTCACATAATTTAATATACAGTTGAAGTCAAAATTATTCCATTTATTCATTTGTTTATTTATTTATTTATTTATTTATTTATTTATTTATTTATTTATTTATGTATTTATTTATGTATTTATTAATTTTTTTATTTCAATATCTATCAAATGATGAGAGCAAGGATTTTTTCACAGTTGTTTCTATATTGTTTTTTCTTCCGGAGAAAGTCTGATTTGTCTAGTTTCAGCTAGAATAAAAGCAGTTTTTATAAAAAAAAAAAAAAAAGAAAAAAACATTAAGGTCAACATTATTAGCCCCTTTAAGCAATATATTTATTTAATTGTCTACAGAACAAACCATTGTTTTACCACAATTTGCTTAATTAACCTAGTTAAGCCTTTAAATGTCACTTTAAGCTGAATAGTATCTTGAAAAATATCCAGTAAAATATTATGCACTGTCATCATGACAAAGATAATATAGAGTTGAAATGGTTACAGGTTTTTAGCTTTTATACTCAGCGATATCTCAAAGCAATTCATCATACACCCGGCGCAAGACGCGACGCAATTGTTGTTTGCTAGTTTCAGCTTGGCGCAAGAGTCGTTTTGACGTTTTACACTACGCTGTTTAAATAGCAAATGCATTTGCGCTCATATGTGCGCCCATAGGCGTTCTGGTCTAAAAAGGGAGGTGTGTTGAGGCGCACTGCTGCGTGTTGCTATTTTGAGAAACTATAATAGATTATTCAATAGACCAGAACAAAGCCGGTCTATTGTCCAGCGCAGAGCGCGTTAGTTGTGCGTCTCGCTTACACACTGCTTAATACACACAAGATGTAGAGCAATACGCAAAAATCTTTACATATGAAAAAGAATTAAAATATTAAGGATATATATTGGATATAATAAGGATATATATAGGATATAAATATAAAGGATTAAAATATTATAAAACATATTATTTTCTAGCTTACATAAATATAAAAACCATACTTTCATGCCTTCTTCATCTCGGGGGGCTTTTTCAGTTTATTCACAACTATTTGCTTTTGTATAATGTTATTATTATTAGCAGTATTATTTATTATATGCATATTTATATTTTTTTTATTAAAAACAAGCTTAGATTTGTCCACTTGTCAGGTTTTAGACCATATGGGGCACAGCATGTGTATTTGGATATAACTCTCTAAATGAACTATTGTTTCACAACTGACTCTTAAAGGGAATGGGAGATGAGACTCTGATTGGTTTATTCTCAAAACACACCTATAACTCATTAAGAAAATAAACTCAACCCTTTTAGACCATGCGCCACAGTGCAAAGTGGATTTTTCCATCCTTATATTGACAAAAGTGGACCCCTAACCCTACCCGTCACCGTGACGTCACTCACTCCATTGAGTGCATTGTGTCTGACATTGCATCGCTCAGTGATGCAATCTCAGCTTGCATCATAAAGGCTGCATCCAGATACTATTGGACATATGAGCCCACAAAGTGGCACAAATGGATTTGCTATTTAATCCTGAGTTGTGCTGGTCTGAAATAGCAATAGATCAGGCCAAACATGTCTTGTGCATTATTGCACTGGTCGTATGATAGGGCTCTTCGGGAGTACTCACACTATTTACAGTTGCCTCGAACTGGGCCAAATCACGCTTGTACCCCCTCCCGTCTCCCTCAGCGGCCCGCACTAACATTACATTCGGGCCTGGGCACGCTTACGTCATCGATGCTGCACTGTTCAGCGAGCTCTCTCGCTAAGCACAGTGGAGATTTTTCTTGTTATATCGCTTTAGTCCTTAGAGATGCAGTGACACGCAGTCAGATATGTCACCGAACAGATCCGCCACTTTTGACGCTCATAAACAATCATAAAGTCCTCGTGCTGCAGGAATTATGAGGTTGCTGAAGGTGCGCAGCTGTGGTGCAGTGAGGGGTTTGCGTAATTAATAAACTACGGCAGTTTGCGTTCACTGAACAGTAAGTATGGTTAATGAATCCATATGAAACAGTCCCTTAAAGTCACGTCTCGCTTTCAGTTTCGGGCTTTGGCGTATTTTGCACTTACACACATCAAGCGTACCGCGCCAAAGCCCAAGTGAACAATGCTCAGGCACACCTCTTCTAATCGGGCCAGGGCCGACTAAGTGAACCATGCCTGAGCCCGATTCAGCGCTCTCATACTTCTCAAACGATCCGGGAAACGGGCCTGGGCAGGGACAGCATAGTGTGCGTAGGCCATCAATGTCTAATTCATGTGATGTACAGTTTAGTACGATTTGCTCATTCCATAATGACGGTTGGGTTTAGGGTTGGGTGGGGTGTCACGGCTGTTTTTAAAAATCAGACATTTTTGTACGACTTAACCCATACAAATTTCTATGAATTAACCAGTAAACTGACGAAACTGAAAATAGCTGAACAATCTTATTTTGTGTTTAACAAATAAAATAAAATTAAAAATTAAGCTCATAAAAGTTTGAAAGAACTTGAGGGTGAGTAAATAGTACATTTTCATTGTTGGGTGAACTATTCTTTAAGTAAAGGATGTCTTTTTTATCTTAAGTTAAAATCCCTGCTAAAAAATCCAGCTTAAACCAGCCTAGGCTGGTTGGCTGGTTTTAGCTGGTCGACCAGGCTGGTTTTAAAGGGGTTTTGGCCACTTCCAGGCTGGTTTCCAGCCATTTCCAGCCTGGTCTTAGCTGGTCAGGCTGGAAAATGACCAGCTAAATCCAGCTAAAACCAGCTTGACCAGCCTGGTTTAAGCTGGACATAGCTGGTTTTGGCTGGGCTCCCAGCCTGCTAGGCTGGTCAAGCTGGTTTTAGCTGGTCATCTCCCAGCCTAACCAGCTAAGACCAGGCTGGAAACTAGCCTGGTAGTGGCCAAAACCCCTCTAGGCTGGTTTAAGCTGGATTTTTCAGCAGGGATGCCTTGCATGGGTGTAACGGACATTTTAAAAGTTGGGGGGAAAAGCTGTATGAGTGTCATGTTCACCAGCGAACAACCACCAGATGTCGCTGGTAAACATTCACACACAAACATTCACACTCATGGAACTACATATCTGCCATGTTATGGACTACAACACCCAGTCATGCAACACACACAGAACCGGTTCCAGATCCACACTGATTGCACTCTCACAGCTGAAGCCACTCACACAATGATTATTTGGACTATTTAAACCCCTCTTTTCCGCACACATGTTGCCGAGTCTTGTTTACTGTTAGGGACATTTCAACTCGTTTTCTTTGTCTGCCTTTGCCGTGTTTTGATCCTTGCATTGTTTATTTATTTGATTCTGTTTGCCGCCTGCCTCTGACCATCTGCCTGTTCATTTGACTTCGACTCTGGATTGCCCTTATACATCTGTTTGCCCCTGTTTTGACCACTGCGGGCCTGACTACGATTAAACCTGAATTTGGATCCTACCTTCTGTTGTCAGTGTCACTCCCCGTCGTTACAATGAGATCCAAAAGTTTACATACATATAATTATTATTTACCTCTTCCTAAATTTCTAAATGGTCTGTCTCTAAAAGTGAGGGGAACATACCCCATATTGTCTGGGTTGCTGTTGTATATTATAGCACAAAAACCTTATGAATTGCCTTCCTGTTATTTTACAGACTTATTCATCTCTAAATATGATTTCCTATGCATTATATTATTTCAAGCTACTAAAATGTCAATAAAAGCCACTTTCTTAAACTGAAGAGTTGAATTTTAAACATCAAAAGTCGACAGAGCACAGATCAACATCCCATAATGCAATTCACAACCGTAAACAAACCAAAAACACTTGTGAATCACGAAATATGGAAACTGTTATCGTTTACAGTGTACTTTTTAATAATTGAAACAGTTTTGTCATTGTTTTAAAATTGCACATGGGTCAACTTGAGTTGTTTATAATAGCTCTGTATAAATTAGCTGTCAATGTTAATTGAATCTGCTGGTTTTACTCATTAAAGTAAGTAGATTAAACTGCTTTTGCAGGTTCCTACATCCCTGAAGGTCTGATGACGTCTTGCACATGGGACTACGTCTCTCCATCTCCTGCCAACAAGAGCTACACCATGATGCTCTGCTGTTTCGTCTTCTTCATCCCACTGAGCATCATCCTCTACTGTTACCTGTTCATGTTCCTCTCCGTGCGGCAGGCCAGCAGGTCTGTTGAAAAGCAATGCTATTGTGGAAACAATGATGCTCTAGACCAGGGGTCACCAATCTCGGTCCTGCAGGGCCAGTGTCCCTGCAGGATTTAGCTCCAACTTGCCTCAACATACCTGCCTGATTGTTTCAAGTATACCTAGAAAGACCTTGATTTGCTTGTTCAGGTGTGTTTGATTAGGGTTGGAGTTATAGTCTGCAGGACACCGGCCCTCCAGGAACAAGTTTGGTGATCCCTGCTCTAGACCCTTAAAATGAAGTAAAGCTGAAATTAAACAAAAATGAGAAACACTGTACTTAAGGGGGGTGTTTATAAGATAAAAGTTCTTTATCAAAGACGCACAAATACACTCACAAATACACACAAATTTACTCACTGGCCTTTTTTAATATGTACACCTGTCCAACTGCCCGTTAATGCAAATTTCTAATTAGCCGATCACATGGCAGTAACTCAAAGCATTTAGGCATGTAGACATGGTCAAGACAATCTGCTGCAGTTCAAACTGAGCATCAGAATGGGGAAGAAAGGGGATTAAGTGATTGTGGCATGGTTGTTGGTGCCAGACGGGTTGGTTTGAGTATTTCAGAAACTGCTGATCTGCTGGGATTTTCACGCACAACCATCTCTAGGGTTTACAGAGAATGATTGGAAAAAGAGAAAAATATCCAGTGAGCGGCAGTTCTGTGGGCGAGAATGCCTTGTTGATGCCAGAGGTCAGAGGAGAATGGCCAGACTGGTTCCAGTTGATAGAAAGGCAACAGTAACTAAAATAACCACTTGATACAACTGAGGTCTGCAGAAGAGCATCTCTGAAAACACAACACGTCCAACCTTGAGGCGGATGGGCTACAGCAGCAGAAGACCACACTGGATGCCACTCCTGTCAGCTTAGAACAGAAAACTGAGGCTGCAATTAACACAGGCTCAACAAAATTGGACAATGAAAGGTTGGAGAAACGTTGCCTGGTCTGATGAGTCTCGATTTCATCTGCAACATTCAGGATGTAAGGGCGGAATTTAACGTCAACAACATGAAAGTATGGGTCCATCCTGCCTTGTATCAGCAGTTCAGGCTGGTGGTGGTGGTGTAATTGTGTGGGGGATTTTTTTGGCAATCTTTGGGCCCATTTTTGCCAATTGAGCACCGTGTCAGTGCCACAGACTACCAGAGTATTGTTGCTGACCATGTTTATCCCTTTATTACCTAAGAGTTCACATCTTCTAACGGTTACTTCCAGCAGGATAACACACCATGACAATGAGTTCGCTGTACTCAAATAGTGTCCACAGTCCCCAGATCTCAATCGAATAGGAATACCTTTGTTGTATTGAATGTGTCATGTTATTTCCTGGGAATACTAAGTCTAAAGGAGCTGTTGACATGGAATTGAACCAGATTTTGGTAAAAACTCAAACAATACAAACATAAAAATAAAACAAAACAAATAAGTCTGAAAATGAGATCCGTGTAATAATAATGAAATGACACAAGGAGAAAGTCCTGAACTATGGAAATGTATTTAATACTTTATATAAAAGGCTTTTTTGGTGATGCAGCTTAAAGACGCCTCTCATATGGAGAATGAAGTCACATGCGTTGCTCAGGTATGAGTTTCTTAAAGACTTCAACAGAGTGTCAAAATCTTGAAGGTTCTGTGGGTCTCGTCATTCAAATCTGATCTTTAATTTCTATTTTCTATTGGATTCATGTCAGGCGATTGGCTGGGCCATTCCACAACTTAATTTGAGAGTTTCCTTGGCTGTGTTTTGGATCATTGTTTTGCCGAAATGTCCACCCTGGGTTCATCTTCATCATCCTGCTAATGTAGATGTTGTACTGAAGCAGCTGAAATTCATTTACAATGATGAAGGGCAGAGGGTTGCTGAAGAACTACTGAGAGATTTTAGATAATGTCTGGGCTTTCACTGCCTTTCCCTGTGTCATTTAATTTTAATACACATAACTTCATTTGTAAACTAATTAGATTTGTTTTCTTTGCATATATGGATTTTTGTGGTTGCTATCGGGGAAAATTTACTACTGTGTGTAAATACAGTGTATAATACCCCTACTGTATGTAGAATTACATATCTCTTTGTAAAACTATTAGAATATACAGTAAATATGTAATGTTTGATGTATATATGTAAGAATTGATGAAGTTTAGATTTATAGCTCAGTGCAGTGGAAAAAGCTAAACGGTTTTTGATGATATGACCTTTAAAAATATGTGTAGTATTTGAAGTGTACAGACCAATTGATAATGTGCAATAAAATAAATTATCCATCTCTGACAGGCGCATAATAAACTATATAAGGTTTCGTCTTAAATAAAAGATATTTCGGTCACTTTACAATAAGGTTTCATTAGTTAATGTATTTACTTGCACAAGCTAATAATGAACAATACAAGTACAGCATTTATTAATAATAGTTCAATATTTACTAATTCAAGGGTGGACAACCCTGTTTCTGGAGAGCCACCTTCGATTTCAGTTGCTACCCATATCAAACACACCTGAACTAATTAATAAGGACCTGAACACCACGTGATAATTACAGGCAGGTGTGTTTGAAATGGGTTGCAACTGAAATCTGCAGGAAGGTGGCTCTCCAGGAACAGGGTTGGCCACCCCTGTACTTATCCACTTGTTAGTGTTAGTTAATGCACTGTGAGTGAACATGAACTAACAATTTACAACTTTATTTTAGGGCTGTCAAAATTAGCGCTTTAACGCATGTGATCCATTTGAAATATTTAACGCGTTAAAAAAATAACGCAAATAACGCAGTTGCAGTTTTTTTATTTCTTGTTGTGGCCGACGTGTGTTCAGGGCCGGCGCATCCATAGAGGTGCCCTAGACGGCTACCTTGGGCAGCAGAATAGTGAGCGAACCCCCCGGTCCTCACATTCATCCGCTACACCCACCCCCTCCCTCACGGTCCTCAACCTTCATACCAATAAAATGCGGTGATTGCCGTTTGCCTAGAGCGCCAGTTCAGCTTGCTCTGGTCCTGCGTGTGTTTAAAGTGCAAAGAAATATGGATAAGACCAAGGACGCGCTATTAGAAGGCCAGTTTCAGTATAAAACAATTAATGTGGCATCACCAGGCTATCCAGCGTTTCCTCCAGAGTTTCATGCAGTTTCGGGTGTTTCATTTTTAATCTTTAGTCTTTAACTGCAGTTCAGCAGTTCACTCTCATTCAGCATATTTTCATTCAGGATGTTTTCAAGAGTTCACACTTAGCTGATGATTGATTATAAAAGCTTGTTTGGCATGCTGTCCCGGGAGAGAGCCCTGAGCTCATGAGATCCTTGAGCCCGGGGCTCCCTCCCATTGCAAGGCAGGAGGGGAGTTTGAGCTCAGGTAGATCTCGAGAACTCCTCTGCTGTAGTAACCAATGGGCAGTAAGTGATTGCTCTTGGAGCTAACTATATACTAGGAGCATGTCTATGGTGCCGATTTGAATTAGTCAATTAACCTAATTTGTATGTTTTTGGACGGTGGTAGGAAACCGGGGAACCCGGGGGAAACCCACGTGAGCACGGGGAGAAAGTGCAAACTCCACACAGAAATGTCTGCTGATTTGGTAAAGCCTGGAACCAGAGACGTTCTTGCTGTGAGGCAACAGTACTAACCGCTGGGCCACCGTGTCACCAATCTAGGAAGGAGGAGGAGTAGGGGTTGAAGGGGGGACTCTTCAAAACGAAGATAGCAGTGGAATGAAACCCAGGGTATTTATAGTAGTTTAGGAGTCGTCTGATTAGCATTGTGAATGGGATAATGCAGATCCAGCCGCTAGCAATCATAAGCACGTGATCCTCTCGAAATGAGTTTATACATGAACTTCACTTAATGGAATTTGGTACCGCATGGCAAACGGAAAGAAAAACCTCCGCATTTTGGGACTCGCGTGATCATTTAAGGAAATCGCTGCTTACATGGTAGACTTTTAATCGGTATCATCTTAATCATCAAAGCTGAGTATTGGTGTCCATGTGAATGAATGTGCCAAATGAATTTGCAAGCTGTCAACGGCATCTGCGTCCATGAGCCCCTCAAATGTTTCATCAAGTTTGACATTTTCCCCCCTTTTGTAAAGCGTCTGCTTCACGTCGGTGTGTGAAAATCTTTGCTTGTGAAATACAGCCAGAGTTTAGAACGCTTAGTTTAAGCAAATTTGATGAACGTGTAACCCCGCCGGTCCTACGCCACCCAACCCGCTCCGAGCTGGTATCAAACCGGCGACCTTCCGCATGGGAGTCAGGTGCTCTACCAAGGAGGCTAAAGACCATGGCCTCAAGCGTCTGTCACTAGAGCACCTTTAGAGGTCAGAGGAGTGAGGTTTACCTGCACAGCACTCACTAGCTGGCCTCCGTTACAAACGCGATTGTGCTTGTGGGGGTTTACCTTTATTGGATGGGAAAGTAGAGAATATTGACAGAAAAGCATGGGTAGTGGAGAGAGGGAAAGGATTGGCATAGGACCACAAAGCGGACTCAAACTCAGGTCGCCGTGAGCACCAGAGTGCATGTGTCGACGCTCTAACCACTACACCAGAGGCGCCGACACGATCGTGTTTGTTGATAAATCTGAAGGGATCACTCTTGCTCACCGGCACGGCACGCGTTGTCGGTGCGTGCGTGCGTGTGTGTATTTGTAGTCCACTTAGAATCCAACAGGGAAAGCATTTTTGTTATTGGCATTGATTGTTTTGAAATTCAAAATGGCACTGTTTTTTTACTTCTGTAATAAACATGGCATTTCATGATGATTAATCATGATTAATTACGTTTTGTGATTACTCATGATTAATTACAAAAAAGTGTGATTAATTATGTAATTTTTTTTTAATCATTTGACAGCCCTACTTTATTCCTATAACTAAGCTTAACACACATGAACAAATACAGTAATAAATGTTTTGTTCATGTTAGTAAATCCATTAACTAACATTAACCAATACAACCATATTGTAAAGTGTTACTGA